AACAAACCTGTGTGTGTGTGTGTGTGTGTGTGTGTCTCTCTGTGTGTGTGTGTGTGTGTGTTTTTGACCCCATATATAAATCAGACACTGAAGCCTCATTTAATGCACAAATTAGGCAACACAATATCAAATCAAGTTGTAAATGAATGATGCTGAAGTTATTTATGGTGGATGTATGAAGTTATGTATGAAGTTATGTCCCCATTAAGTTTAAACAGGGTGCCCAGAATAAGCACGGGTAGTTAATGCCATTAACTATGAACATGGTGTACTAATGTTTGACAACCAGAATGTTAAATATGAATTGTCAATATATATGCAATACATATTTATAGTTTTACTCGAGACATGCGCTTATACTGTTTTCTTTAAAACAAATGTCAATTGGTTTAATATTTAACATGCAATGAAATTTACACATTTGTCTGTGACTAAAATGTCCAAAATATTTTTGGGGCCACTTTACAAACAAAATCTCAGAAGATTAGCTGAAACTATGCAGAGAAAGTCAATAGAAAGTAATTGTGTAGTTATTGGATTAAAGGGGTCATATGATGCGATTTCAAGTTTTCCTTTCTCTTTGGAGTGTTACAAGCTGTTCGTGAATAGATAAGATCCCTAAAGTTGCAAAGACTAAAGTCTCAAACCCAAAGTGATATTCTTTATAAAAGTTAAGACTCGTCCACGCCCTCCTAAAACCCCTCGTTTAAACACGCCCCCACATGTCTATGTCACGATGTGGGAAGATTTGCATAATACCGCGCAAATGTTCACGCAAAGAAAGAAGGAGTAACTTTATAGTTGCTGCCATCGCCGCCAACATGTTGTGAAGACGCTGTGTGTTTCGTTGCGAAAGCGAAAATACTTTGTTTGGCCTTCCAAAAGAGGACACGACTAGAAATCAGTGGTTAAGTTGTATTTACAACACTGTTCTTTCAGAAAGGCGGGGCATAGAGGAGAAACAATAATGTACAGTATGTGGAAAATATGTTTTTTTTTTTACCTTAAACTGCATAAACACATTTCATTACACCAAATACACAAAATAATGTTCTTTTTAGCAGCATCATATGACCCCTTTAAATGAGCTGTCATCAGTTTCATGTCTTTGATCATAATGGGTCAATGTAAACAAGAAACTGAAAAGCAAGAAGAAGATAGGTCAAAATTACCTTTAATTTGGAGCAGCATGGCTCTCGTGCCGTCTTCTTTTCCACACTCATGATGCCCTGGAAGCAAACGATATATGAATGACAGATGACAGAACAGTGCAGAGCATGTCAACACCAGGATCATTATGAACAGCACCACGTTATTGTGCAAACAGCATTTTTCCAGGGTCCATTGTTCATGGGAGTAAGAAAACATCATCTGAGGGGAAAGACCCCTGAGGTTGGAGCTGAGAGTGGATTCAGAAATTGCACCACGTTTCCTGCAAGAGGAAGGGTGTTTGAAAAAAAAAAAAATCAAAAGTTTTTAAGAATCATGGACAGCAGGGCAAACTTTGTTGATGTTGGTTTGATGCTGAAGACAATGAAACATGATGTGGGAGATGTGTTTTTTTTTTTTTTTTTTTTTAAAGAAAGAAAAGAGAAAGAAAACCCGGACCCACTTTATATTAAGTGGTCTTAACTATGTGCTTACATTTAAATTAATAATTTGGTACAATGCACTTATTGTGTACATACATGTTTTTACATTGTACTTATATTTTAAAAATACCTGCATGTAATTACATCTGCAATTAATTTCTGTAATTACATTTATAATTACACTGTTGACCCCATCCCTTACACCTTAACCCACCCTTAAACCTACCCATACCACCAAACCTGACCCTAACCTTACCCATATCCCACCTTAATAGCAGCAAAAAGTGTTTTGCAATACAATATGAACACAATAAGTACATTGTACTTAATTTTTGATGCAAGTATATAGTAGTTAAGGCCACTTAATATAAAGTGGGGCCGAAAACCCCAATTAATTGTTTGATGATATTGGCAAAAGAAAAGTATTGTTTATTTAGGCTAAAAGAGACAAGGGCTAATTGCCACGAGTTGTTACAAAAAAGTTTTTGAACACAGTAAAATTGCACTGATATGCAGTCAGGCAAAGATCAACAATATAAAGAAGGCAAATTTTAAATGAAATGTGTAAATGGGATCAAGAATATTAATATTAACAAGAATAGTTTGCATGAATGTCAGCAAGTTATCACATAAAAGTTATTTATTTTATTTATTTATTTGACATTTTATAATTTTTTTGTACAATGTTGACAAAATAATGACTTGTCATTTCTTTGTATGCTACCTTTTTATTTTATATAAAAATATAGCTATTTATTTTTGATGAAAATCACATAATAAGTCATATAATGCCAGATTGGCCACTGTAACCCATTATAGTGTGACAAGCTTTTACAGAAATGTAAAT